AAAAAAAAAAAAAAAAAAAAAAAAAAAAACCAACGCTGTTGAAATGGATTGACAGACGCGATCATGGACGAGCCGATTCCCTGCGGGCCCGGTGGTTTCCAGTGCGAAAACATCGGACCCGAGTACTACTGCAGCAAGCAGTTCTGGGAGGGGCCGAACTGGGGCATCACCAACTTCGACAATTTCGGCTTGGCAATGTTAACCGTCTTCCAGTGTGTGACGCTCGAGGGCTGGACCGACGTGCTCTACAGCGTAAGATCAATCTCCTTCTCTCTCTCTCTCTCTCTCTGAATAAATGAGCCGGATGCGATCGATCCTCGATCTCATCTTCTTCTTCTTCTTCTTCTTCTTCTTCTTCTTCGCTCTTTGCTCTTTCAGATCGAGGACGCGATGGGAAGCTCGTGGCAGTGGATTTACTTCATCTCCATGGTCATACTCGGCGCTTTCTTCGTGATGAATCTGATTCTCGGTGTACTGTCCGGGTGAGTATCCCTCAACTGAATTGCTCGTTCTGACGCAAAGTAAATGGAAGAGAAAGCGACGCGTAAAATCAACTACGTACCGATATAATTGTTTGTTGTTTGCTACATTGTTCATCCGTTCTTTGCAATACCGTGTATCGATTCCAAGCTGCGTGTTGCGACTTCCTCTCTCCTAAGAACCGTCTAAATATAAACGCGCTTTTGTCGTCGTCTGTGACTGCCACGTAGCAGCAGATCTCTCTCGACGGTCTTATCAAAGGGCGAATTCGTTGTTCTCCGCTTTCCAACGATAAGACGCTCGTTTCCGCCCGGATAGGTGGACAATCCAGGAATTTTTGAATAAATTTCGATACCAGGCGAAAGACGTTACGATGAAATTTAGAAAAAAAAACAAACGCAACATCGATACATTCATCGTGTTTAATTACTGTTTCGTTAAGTTTTTACAAATTGTTTGTACACTCGATTTCACTATGTTTGATCTAGATCATATGCCGCGATGGAACTTTTAACTTTCGTTAATTCTATATTGCTATATGTGCTATGATTGCTCCCAATGGGGAGCATGATTTCTCATTAAGAAAGGCCAAGCTGTCGGGACATCTCAAGGAACCAAATTATTCGACGAGAATTTTAAAATGCTTCGAAATTATCATTACATCTCATTTTCGAGGTTGCTGGACATTCGGGAAATTTAGAGATTTCAACATCTCATTAGTTTCTTCATCTTCGA